TTTGTGGTCGCGGCCAGTAACATCACCGAGGTATGCATAGCAAACTTCTGCGTTCTGATAAAATGCATACATAGAAGTGATATTCGCTGCAACATCGGCGTGATTTCCCTGCATGATGCAACAGGTGTCAACCCAGATGTAATGAATACCATCTTGACGGGCTTGTCGGCATGCTGCTTCTATCTTTTGGAAACCTGATTTTGACTTGGTTTCTTTCTGGAGGTGTATGAACTCTTCATAGACCACTTCACTGCCCAAGATCCACCTATGCGAAAGGATAGCGTATGCAGGAATAGTGGTATCCTTATTGAATTCAACGAGTTTGAGAGCGCTGGTATCAATTAAGCGACGAGGACAGATGTTGATAGGTGTCAAGAGACAGTCGCGAGATGCAGATTTCACAAAATCCTGTGTTTTTCCTTTCAGGTTGAGAACCAGCCGGTGAGAACGATATGGGGCCGCTTTGCTGGAGATCAGGGTATGCCTCAGTTCTGGACTGGAGAGAATATGAAAGGGAAAGATAGAATTGGACTCTGGGAGAGGATCAGAAGGGGTAAAATCGAGTCGCCGCAGGCGCTGCAAAAAGATTGAGGATTTAGATTTGGAAGCAGACGAAGAGTAATTGTATGGTGTAACGCAGGAATAACTTAAGATCTTCATCCCAGAGTGCACGTTTCCATGAAAACGGCAGCTGTTGATTTCCTATTGGGGGCTGTCAGTGACTCTAAATCTCTTTTCAGCGCCAAGGTGCAAGAGTGAATATGGCTATGAGGAGCTCACTCAGGTGGTTAAAATCTGAGTCCAAGGCCACCGACAGGTTTAGAACGGTTTACCCTAGACGTTGTAATGGTGGAAAGAGATCAAGAAACGAAACGTCGGCATCTTCCGACTATTCGGAGACTATTGGCACATCGCATTCAGTGTTTCTACATACCTCCGACTTGAATAGCCTGAAGCACGATCCGTAACTTAGACGGAAGTAACGGGCATGAAAATTGTTAGTAGCATCTCCATGTCTGCGAACAAGCCTGAGTTATCTCGAACCGTGATATATAGAAATCCGTTGAACAAGGAAGAAGCTCCCGACTATATATATGGGTAGCAATATTAGCGTGAACTTGAAGTACACCAACATTCGAGAGTACTTTGAATTTCGAGTCATTTGCCATTAGGGACTCAAGATGAAATCGGTCTGCCGCGGCCATCCATGTATTCCGCAATCTTGCCTGATCTTTCTAATCTTGCGGAAACTAGCATTTTATAAAGAAGAGGACCAGGGAGCTGAAAAGTTTTCTTGATGGTAATCCCAGGTTCAGGTTCGTGTACTTTACTTTTTGTTTGTTTTCCGCTCACCATCATCATGAGTAGGCATCAAGAAAATTTGTATCATAGGCGGAGGAGGACCAGCTGGCCTCGCTGCTCTCAAAACCATCCTTGATACACTAGAATATAAGAACGGATTATGGGAACCTACTGCGTATGAAGCGAGAGGGGGTTTGGGTGGAGTTTGGTGAGTTTTTTCTTCTTTTTCTTCGTTGTACACTAACGTGTACTAGGCTACCCTCTCCTCCAACGCCCTCAGATCCTGCTTCTTCTTCCCTTCATGCACACCCAGAAACTCCGCTGTACGACTCTCTAACGACCAACCTCCCTCACCCCGTAATGGCCTTTCCATCGTTCTCCTTCCCTCCTTCGACTCCTCTCTTCCCCAAAGCCCACGTTGTACAAAAGTATCTCGAAGATTACGCGGATTGGTGGAATGTGAGACGGCTAATACAGTTAGGAACTAGGGTTGTTGGCGTTGAGAGGAATTCGAACTTGAGTTTGGGTGAAGGTCAGGATGGAGGTAGGGAATGGACTGTCCGTATCCTCCGTCAAGGGCAGAAAGAATCTCACCAATTCGACTACCTCTTTATCTGCAGCGGGCACTATCAGGTTCCTCGTTTTCCTTCATGTACCGGTATAGACAAGTGGTTGGAGAGAGACAAAGCGGTCCATTCGGTTTGGTATAGGAACCCAAAGAGTTTGAAAGAGTTTTTACACAAGGCGAGGGCTGCTAACGCACCGTCTCCCCTCCGAATTGTAGTCATAGGCTCTGGACCCTCAGGATCTGACATCTCTGCCGAGTTGGCCTCCACGGACAGTGTCGATCTAGAAATGGTCTTTTGGAGCTTCTCAGGCGGCGAACTCGAGCTTGAGACGGAAACTGAGGTGGAAACTGTAGGAGTTGACACGAATGCGAACGAGGTTCGGTCTACACCTAAATATAAACCCAAACTCGCAAAACGAGGCCGAATCGTTTCATTTGGGGATCCTAATGCTGGGGAGGTCTCTTTTACTGCTCAAGGTACTAGAGGGGCCGTGTTAAAGGAGACCGGCATTGATCTAGTCATCCTTGCTACGGGTTACGAGGTCCGGTTTCCTTTCTTCCAGCCAAGTGGGGTGATTAGGGAAGGTATCCCGCCTCCTCCACTTTTCTCTACTACTTCTTCGGCTACGAGTACGACTACGCAAGAAATAGGCCTCTGGAACTCGACGTATCATGTCTTCCCACTCGCTAGACACGTTTTCCCTCTGTCTTTATCCTCTGCCTCCCCTGCTTCTGAGGCTCCCGTTAGTTCGCTGACAACAACGATGCCAATGACGCCACCAACAATAGCATTCCTCGGCCTCCCAGTCCGCGTTGCCCCGTTTCCGATATTAGAAGCTCAGGCGAGAGCTGCTGTGGGGGTGTTCGCTCTCTCATTGTCCCCGTCTTCTCCAGGAGACGGGAAAGAAAAAGGAAAGATACACCTGTCCTGGGACCCAGAAAAAGAATGGGCTGCTGTACGATTGCGGTATGATGCGTTGAGGGACAAGATCGTTGGGTCGGCTGCTACTACTAGTATGGTACACAAGCTGAAAGGGGAGGATGTAGAGACTGGAATTGCCTCGGCCTGGCACAAGTTTGACGGACATGAACAATTTAACTATCGGGATGAGCTTTGGACGTGGGCCGAGGGAAACGAGGCTGAAACGTCTATCTCTTTTTCTGTTAATGGAGTCACTGCAGTCGCGGGGAACACTCCAACGATTTCGGGTATACCGACGGCTTTAGGAAGGACGTCAAAAGTCAGAGTAGAACCCTGGGAAATTGGGGCATACGATGATAAAACTATACTGCGTAAGTTTTGGGTCCACCTTGAACATTCTGGTGAGGCAGAAGGGTGGGTTAGGGGTGTAGGCTCGGTAGGGGGGACAGTAACCCATGGGCAAGGACTCGAGGCGAAGCGAGAGTGGGTTGGGTTTTTGGAGAGGATAAGGAAGGAAGCGGGGAGATGGGAGAGGGGGGAGATATAAGATGGGGAGGAAGGTAAAATAAACAGGTGGATCGATAGATAAGCAGACTAGATGTATATATCTATGCTTTGATAATATGTATATGGTTCGTATACGTGTTAGACCAGAATCAATTACGATGTACTTGAGCAGATGTAAATCGTCGTACTGGACAGACATCAGGTAAACGCAAAACCATGAGTTACTGTCCCCCCTACCGAGCAAAATATCCCGTCCTGTCCACCTCTACAGGTACTTGGCAACCTGCATTATATACTAAAACGGTCGAGTCTCCGTAATCTTCGCCCATGGATTAGAAAGCAAAAAGATACTCATCTGAGCCTAACCGGGAATTGAACGTGAACCCGCAACTAACAGGGAAGGTAGGTAGGTATGATACACGGCTCCTCCGGGGTGTTGAACCTAGAGTGGTACCAGAAACGGCACAGCCAGAGTCAGCAAGCCGAGCAAAAGCAATCGCGCAGTAGACTACGAGCTCAGCCAGTGACTGGGTACACTACGAGGTAGGGAAGTGACTCCGGCTGTGCCGTTTCTGGCACCGGGTTCAACATCCCGTGTAACCTACCTACTAGACTGTCCGTGAGCCAGCTGTTCTTTGGAGGACCACGTACGTTCGACCCGTGCTGTGGCCGCTTACCATCAGGCCACAACAATTAGATTCACTGGGAGTCATACATGCGTTGTAAGTAAGTAGCAAGATTATTCAAGTGTTGCCCAGAAGTTGGATGGATGGCAGCGACGAATCATGAGTTATATATTCAGAATAATCATTCAAGGTGGCGAAAATCGTTGGTGAATGGGAATAAATTTTTGCTGCATCCTTGTGATTGGCGGTGACGGATGAGTGCTGGGCATACTTCAAGATAGAGGAAGAAAATATTTAGATCAATCCCAAAGGTTAGCTCAATTTTGGGCTCCACGTACAATTCAAAGCTTTGAATACACGTTTCCTCGAGCATTGAGCCTCCAACAATGTATATTAAGATGAACATTACTTATGTAGATACATCAATTCATCAAGTATGGTGTACTTGAGCATGCAAATTTGTCTTAGATTGATTATTGCGATTTGCATAAATAATGTCACCGCGTCGAAAAAAAAATTCTCAGCTCGAGGTCATGTGTTTCTTAGGTCAGCGTGGAAGGCCGTGCCTGAGCCAGTCCGAGCCAGTCCACTCAATGGTAAATCAGTGTATTCTTGATGCAGCCAAGGGCATTGCGCTGAAGCTCAATACCTGAGACCTACACCAACCACTTTACACCTACGAAATCCTCAAGATATGTGATATGTCCAAGCGGACACTCCAACGGGCTCATCAAGGTGGTACTGTAGCAAAGGCTCTTCTCAACTCATCTTCTTCTGCACACTGGCTTGATACCTTTTCATCATACTCATTGAAGACTTCTTCATCCGAACTCATGGCTTTGATTTTCGAGAACAAAAGTGAGTGAACGTGTAAATGGAGGACGGATAACGCGACCTTGCCAGCTGACATAAGAGACACATGACCTTGAGCTGAGAATTTTTTTTCGACGCGGTGACATTATTTATGCAAATCGCAATAATATCCATAATCTCTGATTTTTAATTCTGAATACAAAGTCCGAATCTCAATACCGACCTTGAAAGTAGAATGCAAAAAGCTCAACCTTTGTACTATGGGCCTGACCGGGAATTGAACCCGGGACCTCCTCGATAGACTGTGATCGTCGTGGATACCCTAACAAGGAATCATACTACTAGACCATCAGGCCACAATAGATGGCCGCAATAAGGGAAGTGGAAGATTGGTAAGTATGGTGAGAGTATTGACTAAAGTACATATGGGAATTCAGAAAAGAGGGAACTGGAAAGCAATCCAAAGCAGGCCTTCCCTGAGTTACCGAGGTTACCCTTCACAACAAGAACTGTTCTCTGTAAAACATGTAATCCAACAATGGGATCACTCTGAAAGTATTCAAAGATTTACAAGGCCAGTTCATCAAAACTTGATCAGTCTGCCCAAAGGTTTTGTATGGGGATTTGACATTTCAAAGTTCCATTATGCCAAATGCAAACCAGTTTACCCTATAGAGAACCAAAAATTATGGCTCATGTTCTCAGCCAGAAAGATGATTTGAAAAACCAGGTCTCCAGACTTGAGAAATTTGTCAAGAAAAGAGGTCATGAAATCATATTTTTTCCAAAGTTGTGAACTCAATCCAGCTGGAATGACTGGGTTTGGGGGAGATATTGGTATAGGGAAGATGGTAAATTCAAATTTGATGATACAAAATTGGTAGCAGAAAAGTGGCTAAATTCTTGCCCTCCTGAGACAATTTGTAAGTTTATGAACTGCGAAAAAATATTTACTGAGATACTCATTTGATTGAAATTTCACAATTTCATTTTAGGAAGTTGAATAGCTGCTATAAGTGTGTTTCTTAGGTTTCTGTTGCATCAAACACATCGTCAAATAAATAGATAGATATAATGGTCCATCTTGGTCACCTGCCCCATAAGTAAGCTTTTGTAATAACCAAGACAGTACAGAGGCTAAACAAAAGATTTTTTTAGTGTAGTAAAGAACAGGAAAACATGAATTAATGTAAGGTAAAGTTCACAGGCACTGCATTGATTGCTCATTTTTTCAGATTTCTCTCTCTGCTTGTCATTCTGCAATAGACCTCACAACATACTGTACCATTTTGAATAAGTGTTCAGTGGGTTTTGCCTGTCATGTTTTTTCCCCTCAGTTCATTCAGTTCAGTTGTTGGGGTGACGCGTTACAGAGCTTTTCAAATGGGTAATTAATTGAAATGGGGGTTGGAGCCTTACAAGAAAGTCTTTTGTATTCCAAAACCTGTAAAAATGGTGCTTAACAGTTCTATTTAGAAAATTTTTGATTTTTGGCTGTCCAACTTCTAAAAAAGGAATTTTTGTGAATCTAGTGTTACACGTTACTATCTACCAAAAATGAACAGTTCAGTATCTGGTGTTATACGTTACTGAACACTTATTCAAAATGGTACAGTATACAAGGGTTTTACCATTTCATACTTCAATTCTTTTTCTCTTCCTATTGACACTCTCTTTTCTACTATTTGAAGTACATGGTAGACTACCAAATGCTACTTTGATGAATGTAACCTTTGATCATAAATGATCAGACATGGTTGTCCGTTTGATCACTTTTCAGTAAATCATTTCTTTTCAATTGTTACCCTTCTACCACCTTTGTCACAAAGATTTACTACTGGTCTATAAACAGTTTTTACTGAGTCTATTAATCCCTTGAGTTGTAACAAGTATACAGAGAGTTTAAGTAGGGTTTTGAAGTCTTTTACTTACTTTGGTAGGGTGGATCTGCTACTATAAACCTGTTCATTCAATAATACATCTGCCCTAGTATTTGCTAGAAGACATCTGCAGATGGTGGTAAAAGAGGTGAAGTGTTTATGCCATGTCATGCTACCAAAGTTTGTTTTTATAATAGGTTGGAATAGACCCTGCTCTAAGGGGGCATTTTAAAAGGAGTGGTCTCCACTAATGTCTGAAGCTGACTGAGGACAGTCAAGACTTTTAGTTGGGGGGAGGACCACAGGCTGATCAAAAAAGATCAAAAATCAATCAACTACCAAAAGCTGATTTTACCCAAGCAGCGAATTGTTTTCTCCTGTCTACATCAACAATAACTCTGATGTTGAAATCATTACTGGGACAGCAGTTCCAGAACAAGATGTCGCCATAAGGTTTTTACATTAAAACGCTCGCTTCCTGTGTTCACTCATCGTTTCATTATAGATGACCGATAACATTTTGAATGGATCTATTCACACCAAAGCCGTTAGAGAAACCCTCAAGTTTACCAAACTTCAATGTAAGTACTTATTTCCCTAGCTCACATACTATTGATGTTTTGTTGATCTCGGTAGACGTTACTTACGAACAAAACCAATAAACTCGCCAATTCCTGGACTATATGCAGAATTTCTTGTCTCCAGACCAGACTTTATTGCAATCAAAGGCTTGTTACACGATCCCGCATTGTATTTGAGGTGTACTTTGAGCACCATTTCATTTCAATATCACTTATTATTTGACATTCTACACCTAATATCTACATTCTGACTTGGAAAAATTCTTCAAGGTCTAAAGTACTCAGGAAGGTAAAGAGGTGTATAGCTGCATATCAAATCATCATATACATACTCAACGACCATAGTAATTTTATGTATACAGCCGCCGATATGAGCAGCAAGAACGTCTGAAGGCAAAGCTGAAGCTAGAGTAGAATAACAGTAACAGTAGCGATAACTTACATAGAATATGGAATTGTGTAAAGTAGATTAAAACATTGTGTTCTCGTTGTAAAAGGGTCGGCGGAGTCAAAGTAGCAAAATGTTCATTGTAGAGCCCGAGGAGTGTACATGTGAATAATCTGGAAAAAAAGTGAAGAAAGCTGTAACGAAAGTAAGCAATTTTAGTCTATGGTCAAACCAAACAAAACTCACCAATACAGAGTACAGCGACAACAATCCCCAAAAGCCCAAGCCCAAAAATGCCAGCTCCATCCTCAAGGAATCACGTAAGGGCCTATCCCCCTTCACTCCTCACATCCCCTCCAATTCCTTTGGAACCGGGGCAACGTCAGGATCATCCGCATTCCACCCCGCCTCCTTTGCTTCTTGGAGTAGTATCGTCGAGAACGAATCCATCTCGATATTCTCCTTTTGCGCGTCAGCAACAAATGTTTCTAGTAGATTCATATCATGATCGAATGAGCTGACGGCTTCCCAGGTTGCGCGGTAGACTGGGTAGCTAGGGAACGAAGAACAGAAAAGGGAAAGGAAGTCAACCTCGTCGCAGTATTCAAAAAAATGAAAGACTCACTCTGCCCATCTAATCAAATACCAATACTCCTTCCCTGTCCCATCTATCATCTTAGTCCTTCTTCCTATAAGCCTCGAAACGAAAAAAGCTGCTGGGTCCTTGATATCACAGCCTGGTCGAGAGCATTGTTCGTTCTTGGCGGATTGGGGACGGGGTACTGTGAAAAGAGAAGATAAACGGGTTGGTATTTAGTTTGGTTTTGGTGCTTTGAGCAAGGAGCAGGAGCGGAGAGAATTGAATTGAATTACTAGGGGGGGGCAAAAAAACTCACAAGGTTTTCCAGCTACACAAGGAGGACAACTCCAATCAAAGTCCTCACCAGAAGTCAATCTCGAGTCGTTGGTTCGGAAGCCGACACAGCCATAGTGGTACCACAATTGGCATCTGTTCCAAATTATAATTAGAACCTAGTCTGGAAGAAAATGAAGCACTCACGAATCGCACTGAATCATATCACACGCCCTCATCCCGTCTACTAATTTGGGCCACTTGACGCCTCCTGCTCCAGTAGATTTAGCCCTAGCCTTTCCCTCTCTCCCAGGCAATGGAGGTGTCTGTTTCCGGTCTAATTCCATCGCCGACATTGAAGCTGAAGATAGGACCGAACCTTTGGGCGCTCTCTCTCTCTTTCGTTTTTTGTTATTCTTTTCGCTTTGTGTATCAGGAGATTCTGGTTCTTGTTTAACATCAGCACTGACATTTTGAGAACGGCCACGACTCGACAATCCTCCTCCTCTTCCTCTTCTCGTTCTGTTCCCACTAGTTATACCTCTGCCCGAGCCTCTCCCTCTCCCTCGTCCCCGTCCCCTCCCTCCGCTCGACGTCGATGTCGATGTCCCATTTGCTGTAGCAGGTTCTTCACTGATTTTCCTCCTCTTCGCACTACCACCGCCATCTTGTTCACGCTGTAAATACCTAGAGACGGAGGCAGAAGCATCAGCGGGAGATGAGCTCCTTCTCTTGATCGGTACTCTCAACTCTTCATCATCAGACAACGAGCTCAAGTCCGAAAGGACCTCTATAGAATCGAGTCCTGGGTTTGTTCCTTGTCCCTCTCCCTGCACTCCTCCTTCCTCAGCATCTGAATCAGGACCAGTACGAGGACCAGGCGAGCTCTCTCCACCGACGCTTGTAGTGGTCATGATCATCTCCTCGACCTCTTCTTCATCCCCCGCTGTCGTAGTCACTATCGATTTTTGCGAAGACTGTGTCACGGTACGAATATGATCATGATCATGTTGAGCTTGTTTACGGGCAAAAGGAGGAAGCGGTGGAGTTGAAGGACGGATATAGTTGTTCCTACTCGATGCAGACGCAGACGTGGACATAGGAATAGGCGAGGGTGTCCGGGAGGAAGGGATTGTATCCATGTTCATCATCGTCATGTCATCTTGCTCATCTTCACCTGCTCCGGACTCAGACTCAGACCGAGACTGAGAGCAAGAGCGCAAAGCAGCAGCTCCACTGAAAGAAGACGAAGGCAGAGTGAGAACAGAATACTTTCTCCTCATCTCAGGCGAGAGGTCTGGTTCAAAGGCTCGTGGCCCTGGAGTTTGACTTCTGTTTTCTCCTTGTTCCCCATCCTCGCCTTCCTCTTCGACTGCCTCCTCTCCCTGTCCGTTGTTTGTTCCTTCGATGAAAACTGACGCCGGCGCCGGTGCTGGTGTCCCGTTTGGTAAACGTGTATGAGCGCGGAGATGCGCTGGAGGGAGAGCAGAAGTAGGAGCAGGAGCAGGAGCAGATGCAGAACTGGGCGGTATCGGCACCGTCGGAATGTTTTGGTCAGAATCAAGCTTGGAATAAGCACTAGGACTAGCGCTGGCCCTTGCTTTACCTTTACCCTTCGTATTGTTCTTCGCCTTTGTCCAGTCAACAACATTCA